CTCTCTCTCACACTCTCTCTCTCTCTCTCTCTCTCTCTCACACACACACACACTCACACACACACACACACACACACACACACACACACACTGGGGTCTAATGGCCTCCTCATTCCTAGAGATGCTTAGTCTAGGTAGGTGTGTGAGGAGAATTTTTATAAAGTATGGGGGCGGGGCATGCTAAACAACCCCTCCCCCACAGACAGTAATTGTGTCATTCATCCTGAGGCTTTGAATTTGCCGGACAGAAAATATACTCAAATACTCAATATAAATACTTATATTGATAAGGAGGCTAGAGAGATATCTCGATGGTTAAGAACAATGGTTGCACTTTCAGAGGACCTGAGTTCCCAGTATCCACTTGGGGCTCACAGCCATCCTGTGCTGCATTTGTACAGAAAATACAACTCTAACATTATTTTTCCAAGTGTTATTTGTAGAGTTGTACACTTGTGAGAAGTTGAGCTTTCATAGAACAACTTGAAATGTAACAAACTCACCCAAGCCTGCCTTAGTCTACATGAAAACCAACTTTGTCAGGACAGAACCACACTGGAGCGTCGTCACACTCCTCATTCTCTCTTGTCTTTGTCCAGGTCGAAGAGCAGGTCAGCACCACGGAGAGAGTGTTCCAGGACAGACAGTACCAGATCGACGCTGCCATAGTCAGAATAATGAAAATGAGGAAGACTCTTGGTCATAACCTTCTAGTCTCTGAACTGTACAATCAGCTGAAGTTTCCAGTCAAGGTAAGTGCTGTCGGCACAGTGGGATGCTAGGTCTGTGCTCAGTCACAGAACGCGTGGGCAGCTCAGTGTCCTCGCATCTGACTGATAACATGGGCCCTGTGTGAGGAGAGGCCAGCACACGCCATAGCAAGGGCTCTGTGCTGCAGATCCTTGACATCACCACCCTGGAAACCAGAGACTCCGCTCCTCCAAGCATATTCATACTGCATGCTGTGCTTTCAGAAGGGAGCAAGGGCCATGAGATACCAGGACAGCGGGAGGGGCTTCCCTCACCATGGCACGGAAGCCGTTCCCCGGGCCCTGGGGCAGTGGTGTTGGTAACTCCCGGGCCCTGGGGCAGTGGTGTTGGTAATTCCCGGGCCCTGGGGCAGTGGTGTTGGTAATTCCC